TAAAAGAGCCGATTTTAAAAAGTGGGACTTTTAACATCGGTCAGCGACCGATGTTAAAAGTGAGACTTTTAAAATCGGTCAACAGTGACCGATGTTAATCGATGTTAAAATTCCCACTTTTAAAATCAGTCAACAATGACCGATGTTAAAATTTTTTTTTCCACTTTGGAACAGGTCGTTCCTAAACTGGAACAACCTGTTCCGGAATTGGAAAAATGCCTATAATTTTAGTCTGGAACGGCACCAGAACGACCCGTTCTGCTTGTAGTACGGCCCGTGCTACAAGCAGAACGGCTTGTACTGCTTGTAGTACGGCCCGTTCTACAATCAGAACGGTCTGTACTGCTTGCAGTGCGGCCCGTTCTGCTTGCAGTACAGCCCGTTCTTCAAGCAGTACGTACAGGCCGTTCTGATTACAGTATGGCCCGTGCTGTAAGCAGTACAGGTTGTTCTGCTTGAAGTACGGCCCGTGCTGCAAGCAGTACAGGGCGTTCTGCTTGCAGCACGGGCCGTTCTGGGGCCGTTCCAGACTCAAATTCGCCCAACAACAACGAAATAAGAGACATGAGAAGAGAATGTTACCTTGATGTTGTATTCTTCCAAGAAAATGACAAGCTGCACACTTCAGATGAGAGCCCGAGAGAGTAAAGAGAAGAATATATGAACTATTGAAGCAAAAAGTAGATAATGGAGCTATGTGGAGAATGGGAGCGGAGATAGTATAGATTAAGTCTCTGATGCTACTTTTAAAATCAGTTGTTCAATAACCGATTTTAAAAGTGATACTTTTAAAATCGGCTATTTGATAGCCGATTTTAAAAGTAGACTTTTAAAATCGGTTCTTGAAGAGCGGATTTTAAAAGTCTCACTTTTAAAATCGGCTGTTCAAGAGTCGATTTTAAAAGTAGCGTCAGAAACTTTTAAAATAGGTCATAACGTAGCCGATTTTAAAAGTAATGCCATTATTTACAAAATTGCCACCGCGTCACTTTTAAAATCGGCTACCTTATGACCGATTTTAAAACCCAGATTTTAAAAGTCATTTTTGTACTAGTGATTCCTGAATTGATCTCACATAAACTTCTCTAGTGTCTCTTAAAATTGTACTAAAGAAAATGTGTTATAATATGAACTCCTAAAGGGACTTATAAAAGAAAAAGTTTTGATGGGCTTTTTGGGTTAAGTCCAGTTGCTTAGAGCACCCATGTTACTTGCTCTAAATGACCAAGTGAATATGTCTAGGAGTGTCCTCTATCTTTACTCACTCATAACGAATTTGTGAAAGTTTTGAGCGAATTTTGGTCGCTTAGAGTACCTCTGTTACTCACTATAAGCAATTTGATGTGGTCTTCCAGTGTTACTCTTTGACTTGATCGATTTGCTCAGAGTGAATTTATAGTAGCTTTGAGTGAATTTTGATAGCTTGGAGTGACGATCATGTGAAGCTTGGAGTAATTTTTTCTCTTTAAAACTTGTAACTTTCCCAATTATTTTCTCTTGTGTTCTACTTCAATAAAGAAAAACACCAAAAATACCTTATTTTTACAAAATTAAACTAAAATTAAAATTATCTCTTGATTAAATATTTTCTGACAAAAAACAAGATTTTAAAAGTATAATATATATAAATAATTGTCTTAATTAAATAAAATAAGAATGCATATTTGACAATTATCACCAACCACCAAATGTGTATTTGTTCATGTTCCATAAATACCAAGAAGGAAGACATATTAATTGATTTGTTGCCTATTAATTGTAAATTATATCCTATATAGTATATAATATTTTGATACTTATTTAATTGAAAGGAAGACATACCAACTATTTCTTAATACTTGTTTAATTGATGAAAATTCAAAAGGTTTAAAAGTATATTTGAAAAGTTATATTTTTTTAATAAATTCAAATATATTAAATATATATTTTAAGTCTTCACTCAAAGCCTTAAACATGAAACAAAATGGAACATATGAAATAATTCTTAGAGAGGTCAAGGGAGTATATATATATATATATATGAAGAAATTAGTTATTTATACTAAATTTTATCGATTTCGTAATATTTTTTTCTAAATTATTTTTTGTTATAAATGTCAAATAAAGAGTTCATTCATTAAAGGTGAAATATTTTAGAAAGAGGATCATAAATGAAATAAAATAGTTAAAATTTGTTTATATTTTAATTTTTTTTACATATGATAAAAAACAAAAGAAGCGTATTTTATACTCTTTTCATTTCACAATAACTAACTACAATTTAAAGTTTCAACGCAAATTAAGAATAACAATAAGTGTATTATTATTTTTATATAATTTTAATAAAATAATTCAATCTTTTATTAAATGCAATATTTTTAATTATAGTAATTGAATAAGTTATGAAAGAACAAATTAAGAAAAAAAATAATTAGCATTACATTGAAAAGTAAGAAAATAATTCATTTTAGAATATTTTTCAAATACTAAAATTGCAATCATTATGAAACGAAGGGTTTATAAGAATGGGAGGAGTAAATTTGAATCATTTGATTATACATGCATAAGAGAAATGTTAGTGAGATACTTCCTCCATCACACAATGATTTCATTTTATGGTTTTAACTAACATTGGTTGACATAAGTGGTTGCAACTTGTGCCCCTTAACCAAGTTGTTCATGGTTTAAATTCTGACATTGAATATGGAATAAACTATCTTGGAAGGGGAATATGCATCTTATATGAACTCATGGTCCCCGATAGAAATTAATTACTGTTTCTGGTGGTGGATACTTCATATCAATATCATGATTACTAAAAAAACTATTTATTATCTATTATAAACAAAAAGAATATTTTTTTGCTTTTAAATATAAACAAATTTCAACTACTTTTTACATCATTTGATGCTCTAAAATATCTCTCACGGATGACATTTTAGTTACACTACTTTATTTGAAATTTATATTTAGAACAATTTAACAACAATATTGAAATTAGTAAAATTTAATATAAACAACTAAACTAATGTGTGAAATCAGTTTTACTTTACTTACAGTTAAAAACATAAAGAGTACAATAAATATATCACTCTTTCATATAATTTTACAAAAATAACCAACTAAATTTTTTTTAGAAAGAAAATATTATATATAGTCATTCCTCTTATACATAAATAATTAAAATTTAACATTAATTACATCATTTAACAAGTCACCTGATCCACTGTTTTAAAATCTCATGAATTGATTTGTTTAATTTTGATTATTCATGATAAGATATAACAATTATTATATTTCTCATACTTTATCTTTACTAAGGATCTAGTCGAATAAATTTCTTTAAAAGCTCTTCTATAAAAAAAATGAAGAAAAATTAAATATTTTTTTAAACTAAAATTAGTTTATAGATAAATTTAAAATCTTAAAAACTAATACGAGAGAACTTCTACAAATTATCTTATGTAAACCAATATAGCTTAAAGATAAGTTTATTTCATTTTTTCTCCTAATTTTTCTTCTATAAGTACTTATCTAAACAAACACTAACTAAATATGTTCCCATGAGATCAAAGTGGTGCATCTTGAGTCACTCTACTAGCAGTAGTGTCTTTAAACCTATATATAATAAAAAAATATTTAATTTTTTTAATTGAAATATAAACAAATTTTAACAAATTTAACTATTTAATATTCTTATTCCAAAAAATATTCTCAAGATAATAAATGGGAGTCCTATTAATAATAAGCATGATTAAAAATAATTTGAAATTATAATGTATGTTTTATATAAAATTGTAAAAATTAAATAAGTTCAATTAATCTTTTTATGTGTTAAAGTAGTTTTTTTTTTAATAAATAGATCGGAGGAGTATTAATTTTATGACTTTCTTAAATGGATTAGAAACCAGAAAATGAAAAGTCAAAAACTAGCAAATGTCGAACATGGAAATTATTCACTCACTACTACAAAATGTTACATATAGTAACATATAAAAAGTGTCACTATAGGTATAATATATGTAGGTATATGTCTATTTGACATATAGTTACACACAATTTTTGTGTTGATTTTGAATGAGATTTAACAACATATTTTGTGTGTCACTATAACCTATACCCACACTTTTTAATAATATACCAACATATATTGTAATTATTGTGTGGGTAAAAGTGATTTTTAGTGACATGTATAATGTCACTATAGGATGTATGTCACTATATGACAATTTTCTTGTAGGTACTTGATGATCATCTATTGTAGTATTAGCTAAAGTCCCCTCTATTTTTGGTAAATTAGCTAGATGAAAGAGAGAAATAAAAAAGAGAAATCAGAGAGAAAAGGTGTTAAATGTCTTTTAATTAATAGATTTAAATGAATGAAATAATAATATACACAAAATAAAAGTTGTCAAAAAAGAAAGACAAAAAAATTTAATTGTAGTTCGTTTACTTACGTTTATTTTACAACAATTAGTTAACTAAGTGATTATGACTCTTACAATCCTAATGAGCCACTCACAAATAGATTGATTTGTATTTATACAACAATTTTAAAGGAAAAACTAGGGTATTAGTATTTCGGTTGTTGTGTCTAAAGTCGCGGGTGAGGAATTTAAATAGTCTACAGTGGAGGAATTGGATAAAATTTTATGGTTGAAAAATGAGGAAAAGGAAGACTTGATATCTAAGACTTTAACTTGGTATTGGAAAGTTCTACTTCACCTATTCTCTACGAAACCTTTTTTCTATGGTGCTAAGTAGCTACTAAAGTGGACTCTAACATTAACATATAATAACAGTCTTCTTCAACAACAACTGCCACCAATAGTTAAGCATTTCAACATTTTTTATTACCCAATATGTCTCAAAGCAGTTTGTTTGATTTCATCTCATTTTATCATATGGTCTTGCAACGCAAAACCTTATCTTCCCTAATTTAGTAGTCATTTTATTGCTTTGAATACATAATGGTGCATAGCATCATAGTGTTATGTATTTGGTTCTTCTCTCTCTTCCACATGTTGAGAACATCCACTTCACTAGACAGTTTAGCAGTGAGTGAATCGATCAGAGACGGTGAGACTTTGGTTTCAGCAGGTGGAATTATTGAAGTGGGTTTCTTCAGTCCAGGAAATTCAACAAGAAGATATTTGGGTATATGGTACACAAATGTAAGCCCTTTAACAGTGGTGTGGGTGGCCAACAAAAATACACCTCTTGAGAATAAATCAGGAGTTCTCAAACTCAATGAAAAAGGGATTCTTGAGCTTCTTAATGGCACAAACAGCACCATTTGGTCATCCAATATGTCCACCAAAGCAGTGAATAATCCAATTGCTCATCTCTTGGATTCGGGAAATTTTGTGGTGAAATATGGACAGGAAAATAACGATGACAACATCTTGTGGCAGAGTTTTGATTATCCAGGTGATACATTGATGCCAGGAATGAAACTTGGATGGAACTTGGAGACTGGTCTAGAAACATTTCTATTATCTTGGAGAAGTGTTGATGATCCTGCTGAGGGAGAATATGCTATAAAAATTGATCTTAGAGGGTATCCTCAAATTATTAAATTCAAGGGGCCTGATATAGAATCGAGAGCAGGGTCATGGAATGGATTGTCTACAGTTGGAAATCCCGATCCGGGTTCAACTCGTTCACAAAATTTTGTGTTGAATGAAAAAGAGGTGTATTTTGAGTTCGAGCCTAGTAGAACAACCTTCAGCGTGTTGACACTGACACCTTCAGGCACACGACAGATTATGTTTTGGACAACTCAAAGAAGCACCCCGCAAGTTGTCTTGTCAAATGAGGACACAGATCAATGCCAGAGTTATGCCTTCTGTGGTGCAAATTCTATATGCGTTTATGATGGTAACGTTCCAAGTTGTGAAACTTTTTCTTTTTCATTTTCTTTGTACAACCTAACCTCCCTTTAACCCTTTAGTAAAAATGCGAACCATGGTTATCAAAAATAATTTCCCTTCCCTTATTATAAATAATTAAAATAAAATATGTAAACAATTAAATAAAACACATAATTTTCTCCAAATACTTATTATAACAAAATATCATAAGAATACATAGTTCTCTAATAAATATTACAAAAAAATAATTTTCATAAATATTTATTATATAATTAATATACTCATAATTATTAAAAACCTCTAAAATATTCTATAAGACCCATTTAATAAATTAAAACAATTATAAGAAAATAATCCCAATAAATATAAAAATAAATTATAATTAAACTATTATATTAGTAGAAAATTCGGTATGTTACAGTATATATATGACCTAGAAGTACAAAAATTTCAACTTAATAGTAAGTTTTGAAAAATTTATATTTGATATGAAATTATTAAGCGATTTAATAGTTAACAAATGTAATATCCCGCTTTTTATAAAAATATAATATAGATATTTTATTAATAATTTTGATATTTGAATTTTTATAAATGACAGCTAATTAATGTCTATTTTATTATTAATTATTATATTTATAAATTAATGATTAAATATGTTTATTTTAGTAACTATTTATAATTTATAATTATTTTTATATGAATATATTGTGAGGTTTTATAATTAAAGGTTATATTATTTAATTATTTATTAAATGAGGAAAAAGATTATTGGAATAATTATGGTTGGCGTTTTTAACTAAAGGGTTAAAGGGAGGTAATTTTTTTTTTTTTAAGAAAAGAGAGTTGATCAGTTTTTAAGTTTTACATTTTTTTCATTTACGCGTTTACGCTACAGAGCTGAGATAACTTAAAGAGGAGGAAACTACCTTTTTTTAAAATTATAAAATTATAAAATTAATTTTAAATTTTTAAAAAAATAAAAATAAATTTACGTTAAATTAAAAAAAACATATTTAATTAAGCCCCAAATATAAAATATAACTTTCGAGACGCATAAGTTGATAACTAAATAAACAAAGTTAATACAAGTTTATAAAATCATGAATAATAATAATAATAATAATAATAATTTATTTTTACATAATAAACAAATCATCTAAACTAATATTTAGTCTATTCTATTGCATCAATATCAGATATACTAAACAATCGTTATAGGAGACATGAATAATACTAAACCAAACAAACAATAAGAAATAGTATGAAAATATTAAACCTGTAAACATAAGAACAAGAGTGAGAACTATTGCCAAAGAAATTTTAGTCATCTCCCAAATAACAATCTCAATAAAAATAAAATTTAGCGGTACCGTTTGTAGTGTATAATAGTTGAAAGAAAACTCAAGGTTTATATATAAACAAAATAGTCTGAAAATTAATCTCAATAAATCTCCTTCTTATTAAATTAAATTGACATATATTTACAAAGAGAATCTCCCTAAAAGGAAGACATAATTTTCTTTCAAAGTTTTTAGTTTATTTATTTATTTTATTTTAATTTTTTTTACATTTAAGTCAAATATAATATTCATGATTCCATAATGGTTAAATAATCTTCTACTATTGGATGTTTTTTTCCCTTTTTTTCAAAAAAAAAAAAACAATATAGTAATTTAATTTAAAGATACATACACATAATAATGATCGATAACGCTTTGATTTCGCAAAAAAAGAAAGAAAAAAAATAAAGAGCAAAATTTTGAGATTTACTCTAGATTTGCTAATATAAAGTTTTTAAACAACATAAAAAAAAATGTTATAAACCTTGTTGTGTTACTATCTCATTCATATATTATATGGAATAAATTACACGTGTAATTTTTAATTAAGTATTACATTGTTTAATAATTATATATTAAATATATATTTTAGTGATTTAACTATTTAATTATAACTTTATATAATATATCAAATTTTGTTAAAATTGAACAAAAATTTGAAAGTAATCAAATTCTTCATATTTTAGTATGTTTTAAAATTTATATATTATATCAATTTTGATATATATAAATGAAGTATCAAATCATCATGATTAATATAAAAGTTTTGTATATATGACACTCTCTACCCCGCATACCATAATACATAAATAATAAAATTTGAATAACACAATCTTTCATTTTAAAATACCAAACGTGTTCACATAGAGAGCACCACATCCATGACTCAAACAAATAACATAATCAGTGGAAATTACAAAAGAAATAAGGTTAAGGTTTTCAAAATAATTTAATAGAAACAACATCCTAATCTAATCCTATCCATGCCCCGATATCACATGTCCTATCAGAGCAAAACCCAACATTGAAGCCTAAGTTTCATCACCAACATCCTCAGCCTCATGCTGATAATCACTTGTATAACAACCAAAGGAAAACAACACAAAAGAAAAGGGAGTGAGAAACATATCACTCTAGCTCACGGTGTAGGAATACATATTGGATAGCCAAACACAAACAAGACATGTATATGTACATAGCATAGATAGATTAACAACAACATCACATCCAGCTCATCCAAGACATAAAAATCACATTAACATATAACATTAAAATGCACATGTAATGGACACGGACTACATGTGGCGCCAGTAACACATCACATGGTGCATTGCCGCTAGCAACACACGTAGAGTAGTCTAGAAGTATATGTCAGGTCACACCCTCTACACACTCTAACTAGAAGGACATAGTATCAGGGTCTAGTTGGGATAGCTAAGCCACGCAAGATACATCCCATGCACACAATAGGCGAGACTAAGACTTACAAACCGAACTATCCCCAAGGACTAATTCCCAAGCTTTTACACAAGGGGTCTTTCCCTGGCGGTGTATTTTATATCGTACCCTTAAAGAATTTATGCAAATGATGCATGTAATTCAAGACTCTATACATTCTCATATCACATCATCATGTCTTATTATCGCATATTATCATATCTCATGTCTCATAATCAATTTTCACATTATCTCATCATATTCACATAGTCTCCACAAAGCACTCTAATTCCTATCAAAGCATACTCAAACTCAAAATTAAATATACATTCATGCTCAGTAATCATCAGGAAACACAACAGAAAACTCAGAAGGTAAAACAGAAAACATTCAAAATTTGCCTGTTTCTCATAGGGTTCCCACAGGAACCCACAGAGCACTCTAATTCATATCAAACCTTGTTTATTTTCAAAGTTTAACACATAGTTACACTCAGCAAACATCAAGGAACACAACAGAAAACTTAGAAGGTAAAACAGAAAACATTAGAAATTTGTCTGTTTCTCACAAGGTTCTCATAGGAACCTATAGAGCACTCTAATTCATATAAAAAATTGTTTATTTTCAAAATTAAACACATATTTACACTCAGCAAACATCAAGGAACACAATAGAAAACTCAGAAGGTAAAACAGAAAACATTAGAAATTTGTCTGTTTCTATAGGGTTTCCCGTAGTAACCTAGAGAAATCTCAAATCATACAATTACAATTCTAAAACTGAAATTAATCATTCATTCAAGCAATTCATATAATTAGTTACATACAAGAAAAATAATAGATGAAACAGACACAATTGGGGAAAATTCCTCATACATGAGCATACAACAAACACAAGATTGGGAGTGATTTCCTCCTCCTACCCAGAGCGAGATTTCTCACTCCCCCCTTACCTTGTTGAGCAAAAAAGATGAATGGTTAAGTCTGGGGTGATTTCCTCCTCCTTATAGTTCTCCGATCAGCTTTTTCTTTTTCATTTTCTTTGTACAACCTAACCTCCCTTTAACCCTTTAGTAAAAATGCGAACCATGGTTATCAAAAATAATTTCCCTTCCCTTATTATAAATAATTAAAATAAAATATGTAAACAATTAAATAAAACACATAATTTTCTCCAAATACTTATTATAACAAAATATCATAAGAATACATAGTTCTCTAATAAATATTACAAAAAAATAATTTTCATAAATATTTATTATATAATTAATATACTCATAATTATTAAAAACCTCTAAAATCTAGGTTCTTAGGAACTACTTTTGATTCTTATCCTTGAATTTCCTAATTCAAAGTGGCGAATCTTCCTCAACTTATCAATCTTTAGGGATTGTGGCGTTGTTCTTCCATTTCTTACCTCAATCCATATTTTTTTCTTTTAATTTCTTAATTATGAGCTTTCCAACCTAGATAGATCCGTAAAACGAATCCATCCCTCTGGGTTCATATCACAAAAACTCAAGAAATACAAGAGAGAGAGAAAAAAAAAAGAGAAATTTCAAGCTCTAAGGAGTCTGGACGAAATTTGGAGTCCTGTGAACTGTGCCCGAGATGTCTATTTATAGGCATCAGAAGGGTGCCAGAATGGCCCGTTCCAAAATTGGAACGTCGATGTGGGACTAAATTTGCCACACCATATTCAACAGTGAATGCCTGAGAGGGTATGTTCCCATGTATCATGATCAACGGAATACAGCAATTTGGTCCAACGGTTGTGTTCCAATGAATAAATCTAGTTGCAAAAACAGTTATACAGATGGCTTCTTCAAGTACACAAACATGAAATTGCCAGACACCTCTTCATCATGGTTTAGTAAGACCATGAACCTTGAAGAATGCAGGAAGTCGTGTCTTAAAAACTGTTCTTGTACAGCATATGCAAATTTAGATATCCGTGATGGAGGAAGTGGCTGTCTACTTTGGTTTAATACTCTAGTTGACATGATGAACTTCTCTCAAGAGGGACAAGACTTTTATATCAGACTCCCTGCTTCAGAATTAGGTACTGCATCAAATTTTGGATTTTGTTTTTGATTTTTGCCTTTGACTTCTTTGCTCTCTTTTCCCGTTTGATTTCTTGTTGAGTATTGCATAAGTCTAAGAGAAAAGGGTGGAGTAGGGTTAAGACTTAGGCCATGAAAAGTGAAAACATTCATAGGTGAGTAAAACAAACATTTTATTATTGCGGTTTGAAATGCCATGTCAAAGGGAGACAATAAATCAAACTAAGATCTGTGGTTTCAAGATTTTGCTGACAATTTCATAAAAAATTATTAGTAGAGTATGTTAATTATTATGACATTTATTTTTTAAATTAAATACAAGGTGTTTCTCCCGTACTCATATTAAATAAACAACCCTACACTCACTCTCTTCGTAGCTTCTGTTAATTGAGCTGTTTATTTTAAAGTTGGTGACTAATCAAGCTCTGTTTCTTTTAGATCATGGCGGCCACAGAAAAATCAAGATAAAGATAGTAGTAATCACTGTTGGTGTGACTATTTTTGGATTAATCAGCATATGTGCATGCATATTGATAAATAAAAATCCAGGTAAGTATATAGATATAATTTAGCATTTAATACAGGCAATTAGGCTGAATACAATATATGTGCATATTACGAGTCCATGTTTATACACTGTTATTTTCAAACCAATCAGGGGTTGCAAGAAAAATTTACAACAGGCATTACAAAAATATACTGAGGAAGGAAGACATTGATTTGCCAACTTTCAGTTTCTCAGTCTTAGCTAATGCCACTGAAAACTTTTCAACCAAAAACAAACTTGGAGAAGGTGGTTTTGGACCAGTATACAAGGTGATTAAGCAAACTAATATCCAGAACTTCTATTTTCCTTAAAAGCTTTCTAAATAAAGCAGAAATTTTTCAGGGCACACTGATAGATGGGAAAGAGTTAGCTGTGAAAAGGCTTTCAAAAGAATCTGGACAAGGGTTGGAAGAGTTCAAAAATGAAGTGGCATTGATTTCCAAACTTCAGCACCGTAATCTTGTAAAGCTTCTTGGTTGCTGCATTGAAGGAGAGGAAAAAATGCTGATTTATGAATACATGCCCAACCATAGCTTGGACTACTTTGTTTTTGGTAGGTCCCTTTACGATCTATTCCAATGCTTCTTAGCAAATGCTATGCTAAATATGTGAGTATTTTCTACTAGATGAAACCAAAAGGAAGTTGCTAGATTGGCACAAGCGTTTCAACATTATTAGTGGTATTGCTAGAGGACTTCTGTATCTTCATCAAGACTCTATGCTGAGAATTATTCATAGAGATTTAAAAACAAGCAATGTTTTACTAGATACAAATTTAAATCCCAAAATATCAGATTTTGGTTTGGCTAGATTATTTTTGGGAGATCAAGTTGAGGCAAAAACAAATAAGGTGGCTGGAACTTAGTAAGTTTCTATCTGATTATGATTCTTTGATATTGCAGAGTCAGTTTTTAATTATTTAACATGGAAAATTTAATTTTCAGTGGTTATATCCCTCCTGAGTATGCTGCACGTGGACACTTCTCAATGAAATCAGATGTTTTTAGTTATGGTGTGATAGTATTAGAGATTGTAAGTGGGAAGAAAAACAGGGAATTTTCAGACACAGAACACTGCAATAATCTCCTTGGACATGTATGTAAGCATATTGATATGACTATTTTGCTAAACAATATAAATTGAATTATTTGCAGCCAAGTAACTTAATTCTCACCATCTCAGGCATGGATATTATGGACCAAAGAGAGAGCACTGGAACTATTGGATGAATTGTTAGGAGAACAATGCTTGCCGTCTGAAGTCATACGATGCATACAAGTAGGCCTATTATGTGTGCAACAAAGACCAAAAGATAGACCAGATATGTCATCAGCGGTTTTAATGTTGAATGGTGATAAACTATTGCCAAAGCCAAAGGTTCCTGGTTTTTACACAGAAACAGATGTTAAACCTGAAACAAATTGTTCATCAGGAAATCACAAGTTGTTCTCAGTTAATGAAGTTTCCATCACAACGTTAGATGCAAGATAGGAAATGGAGGCAAGAAAATGTTAAGGCTTGGCTTGACCTTCGAATGTGGGATGTATCGGTTATTTGAACATGCATAATTTGTGAAAGTGATGTTACGAGCTTCAGCTTTATGTTTGTTTCATGCATCCAAATACACGTAACCAAAGAGTTCTACAACAGAGACAAAAATCGTTAATTGCAATTTGCAATAGAACATGGTTGTGAAGCTTTTCTGGTGCTGGATATCATGAAACAACCTATATCCCTCTAAGTTTGTTCAGCACTTCACAAAAAAGCAAAAAACTTAGAACTTTACGTCACAGAAACAGATGTTATTTCTAAGTGATATATATTTTTTAAAGCTATTTAAATAAGTTAGAAATAAAAGTGATTATTTTTCTAAAATTAGTTGAATCAAAACACGCACTAAGCCATCTAATTTTACTTGCTTCATACTGGCAAAAAATTTAGAAGTCTATTGCAGCTGTTTCGTGATCACAGTTGTAGCCTCATTCACTGCGATATAAAACTTTGCTGTTATACTATTCTCATATAAAGAAAAGTGTATTTACTGTTGTAGATAATGCTAACAGGTATATTCCGTTCTCACTTTTTTCCTTGTTTCAACTTTACACTCAAAATGCCGGTACCATTATCAGGAACATGACATTCACGCATCAAATATGTCTCAATCCGACAAAAGAAACTGATTTGATTCTCCTCACCTAAAAGCTTCAAAATATAAACACACAGATTAAAGAAAATGTGATTTTCACTTCCAACTTAATTAAAACTATGTATGAAGTTTAGTTTGGTTAATCAGACTTTGAATTATTGTAAATCCATTGATATTGAGTATCATTTATAAACTAGTGAACTAGTTAACCATTAATCACACCATAAGCACCAGTAACTCAATTGTCAATCTGCAACATATAAAACTACGCTCAATGGCCGTCTATCAATAGTAAATATTCATATATTAAGGATTTTAGGCCCAAGCACAAATTTCACGTTAAGTAAAAGTCTAAAATACAACATTACGCATAAATAATAAGAATATGATTGGAATGTAAGAAAAATAAAATCTTAACTTATAATAACATCTGTTGTAGTCATTATTATCAAATTATTAAATATCTAATAATATTTAGATATTTAAAGAAATAGAGATAGTTTTTCTAGTTTGTTTGTCAATTTTTAAGTCTATTAAACAATAAAATACCATAAACTTTTTACAGGTAAGATTAGAGATTTTCTATCTTATTATCATAAAAGTCTTTCATTAATTCCTTCATTAAAAACTAATAAAATGTGTTTATTATGACTCTTAATAATTCTGATTATTAATTTGTAATAGTTCCTTATTATCAAACAATTAATTAAATTAATGAGATATATAATTAAATTAAATATAAATAATATGAGTCACATAATGTTTTTTTTTCTCAATATTCTCCCATTTGGCTCATACTCATTAGAGCCTTATCATCAACAACTAAATATGAACATTTAACTTGAAACTTGAAATTCTTCAAAACTATATTGAATTATCTTACATGAATCATGATGGCTGTGTTTCAAGATAAACATTTCCTTCCATATATTATAATGCATAATATTTTCTAATAACGTCCAAACTATAATGATTCAAATGAATCATATGTTTATATGACAAACTTAATATGTACAAAGTCATAAAATCAAAAAGACAAACTTTAATGCAAGTATTTGAGTATATGATCCTAAAATCCTGTAGCTAGTAATCTTATACTGGATCTTCGATTTTGCAACAATATATTCAATAGAGATTAACTCTCTTTTGATGTCTACTTTATATCAATTTATTTCTCTTGACTTTCACCTTTAATATTCTTCAAAAGAATAGTTAAACGAGAGTTCTTAATTAGTCTTCACTAAAATTGACAATTTTAAGACAAAAAAAATTATGCTTGTGATATAATTTCAACATCCAACAAATATTTTCTTTAAAGTGATATTCAAGAGTATCATATACTTCTTATTTTTTCAAATTTCTCTTGTCGATAATTCACTTTCACTATTTGACTTCCACTAACTTTTGGAATGTTTATATAGGATAATAAACTATATATCCTTTTTATAATATAATATTAATGGTATGATAATTCATAAATTAGTAAATTCAAAACTTTTAGTACAAAACACATACATGATTTACAAACTTTATATATGGAAAATAAATATCACAATAAAATACATCATGCTTATGGATATAGAAATATCTTAAATGACATTTAGTTCATAACTTTAATTAATTATTTCTTCCTTATAAAATAACTCTTTTGTAAAATTGTCTAGGATGCTATGGCTACTTCTAAACATGTAATTCTTATATTAATTCATGAATTAATCATTTATCATAATTTACAATATAAAAATTTACAAATTACATATATAATTGCAAAGTTTAAACATGATCACTCATTATTCATAATATGAGATAAATGTAAATTATGTATACATTTGTGAATCTGATGACATAAAACTTGCCTGTAGACTAAAACTTTACTCAATTTGATTATTCACATAACCTTATGATAAAACTATCAAATTATGCTTCTTTTCTTAATCCCTATGGGTAAATTAAGAAATATAATTTGATATTTTAACTTAATTGATTATACATATAACAATAATTCATGTGAGATAAACTTATTATATTTAAATATAATTAATCACAATATTATGTCTAATTCTTTACGTGATTTTAAGCAACAAACTATATAATTTAATTAATTAAAAATGTTCTAATTAATCAATAATTAATCAAAATTATAAGCATCACTAGACAAATATTCCTTATTTTTAGAAACTTTATGATTCTCGTAATCATCAAGATTTGAGACACATTATAACTCACAATTTGAATTGAAAATATGATAATTTTTGCTCAATACCAATTGTCATTATAAATTAAAATTAACAATTATAACTCAATTCAAATCATGAAAATAATCACGATAGTTTTAATTAATATAAATTAAAATTAAATTAAATTATAGCAATTAATGTGAGTTAAGACACAATCATCTTCTCAAAATTATAAACATATATGCACAATAAGGATTGGAACAATAATAACCCATCAACATCATGAATATATTCATTCCTGTGTATATTTTTATTTTATAAATCTATTCGATTAAAAAACATATCAATTATGAAAAAGAGATTAAATATAGAAGATGTATGCATTTAATTCAAATAATCCAATATAATTGAACTATAAATTTTAGACAATATATTAATCCATTCATTTAAAATAAAAATAATAGATCATTGATCATTAATACATATATGATTGTATCAGATATAACAATAATAGGTATATAATCAATTGTCTCAATAACAATTAATAGGTAATGACGATTCAATAAAAAAATATAATACTCGATAATTTAAATTAATAGTCAAAATAAAAATAAGTTGAATAATAATATTACAAAATAAGCTTTGATACCAAATGTAAGAAAAATAAAACCTTACTCTCTAACTTATAATACCGAAAATATATCTCTTGTAACTATCAAATTATTAAATATCTAATAATATTTAAATATTTAGAGAAATTAAGAGAATTCTTTTGATTTTTATCTTTCTTTTGATCTATTAGACAATAAAAGATACAACTTTTTTTTTTATAGACAACACTAAAAATCCTTTAACTTATTATTATAATAATTCTCTATTAAAAACTAATAAAATATGCTTAGATTCTTAATAATTCTTATTATTATTCTGTAATAATTTCTTATTATTAAATAATTAATTAGATTAATCAAGTAATTAAATCAAACATCATTGTGACTCATAATATGTTTTCCAACATGAAATATATTGATCTAGTGACTCGCAATCATGAGTGTTACAGTAAAATTATTAAGTAATCACTTTAAAAATTATATATAATTTCTAATTAACTATGTAAAAGAGCCCCCTGTCAAACAAAACTATGTATAAGAGTTTTGCTCAGTTTGTTGAACATGATGAGAAAGTAATATTTAATCATATGCTAAATGTAAAACTAATTTAATTTATAAAATAGTGTAAATAATAATCAAATTGAGTAATACTCTGGGTGTGAGTAAACAAATGAAAATCTATCTTTCTAGTTTCTCCTCACAAGTACTCAATAATAAGAGGTGGAACAATTTCAATTTCCAAAACTGAGAGGAGGAAACAGAAAGTGAAAACGAAAAAACAAAAGGACCAAACAAACAAAACAAACATCAACATTCAGGTTCTTGTTGCAGCACTTCCTCGAGCCACAGCTTAGACCCCTCCATGAGTTCAGGGCTCAACCTAAACATCAAAACGCAGAACTCCAACTGGCTCAGCGCCCCATCGCCGTCGAAATCGCCCTGCCGGAGCATAGAGCGGAGGTCCTCATCGGCGAGCCCATCCAGGCCCAACAAAGCGGCGTTCCTCTTGAGGCTCTCGAAGGTTATGAGGCCCGTGTGGGGGTCCTTGAGCAGGTTGAAGCCGTTGCAGAGCTCGTCGATGAGGCCGTCGCCGCCGAGCTTGTTGGCCATAAGGGGAAGGCAGTCTTGGAAATGGGGATGTGGGTTCTGTGATGATGCCATTACTTCCTGTTTATATACTCTGTTTCAAGCCTATTTCTATTCAATGTGGGACTTGTTTGAAGAGAGGGTGTAGAGGGGAATGGTATATGTAGGGAGAGGGGTTGATGGGGGAGGTTCCGAGAAAGAGAGGGCAATGAAATGCATTGATTGATGGAAGATAAGGGAATGAGGTGGAGATGAGGAAGAAGGTGGAGTTACTTGCCAAGGACTTTCGCAGAAGGTGGCACGAGGGTAGAATCGTCCACCAGCAAATTTGGAGATGCTTTGGTGTTCTTGTCTATTTGCTAGTTTCCGGCTTCTAGGGGACTGCAGAGTGTGGAGCGGCTCCAGGCTAATTAAAGTGGGACCCCATCATAATTTTATTTTAGGGTAATGTCTCTGTTCACAATGTTGTCTTTTAATGAGAAAAGATTAGAAGACCTCAACGCTCCAACCAACCATTTTAATAGCAATGCATTATAAAAAATATATTTAAAATAAAAATAAAAAATTAGATACAATTTCTTAATTTTATTTAACTTTGGTATTCAGTCAAAATATCTATACCAATATTAATAATTTATTAAACGATATAAATTATTACCACTTATAACAAATAAGATATATTTTCTTAAATGCTACTAGTATTTGTGATTATTATTCATTAAAATTGGATTTTTAATTGATGTAATTTTTCAATGCAAACTTTTATTTCTTAATTATTGTAATAAAATTATAATTATAATTATAATTAAAAAAGTTTCATACTTCAAATTAGTATTTTAGTATTTGTATTAATTATGTAAGATAAAGTAATTTGAAAACGTTTTGTACATCCTGTGCAAGTATTTATACTTGTTCAAGATTACAAAGAAATTTTGTCGATTGAATTCGATTTTCAACAATCAAATTGAATTTGATTATTTTTCTTTATCAAAATATTGAATCAAGAATTCGAAAGCTAAACGATACTAGCATACTATAACGCATAGTGGATTTTAATTGAGTCCTCCAATACTGTCATTTTGAAACAAAGTGAAACAATGTTATGATCGACTTCAAGTCCAAATACATTTCCAAAATACAAAAAAAAAAAAAAAAAAAT